GTCTGAAATCAGGAGCAGTCAAGTGCTATTACATTACTGCAGAACACAGGAGGGCATTTCTTGGTACATGAAGATGGATCAAATGTTCCACATGCTGACCTGCACAAGACGCGTGTGAGGAAAGATGAGGATGCTGTTTCGACAATAGTACATCTGGTGAAGAGCTGGGTAAATCCATTTGAAGAAGCCCACGAACTTATCAGTATCTCGACAGCAAAAAAAGCCCCGTTTGGATGGCCTTTGTTTTGTCTGGATTCGTAGCGATACCTTCGGCGCTGATAATATAACCCAGATATTGGACTTTCTCGCTAAGGAAGTTACACTTGGTTGCTTTGAACTTAAGGTTCGCGTTCCGACAGCGGCGGAAAACTTCGTGCAGGTGTTGCATGTGTTCTTCGAAAGTGGCGCTGTAAATCATGATATCGTCCAAATATGCGATGGCGAATTTATGTTGCAGTCCTTCTAGTACTCTATTCATGACTCTTTGAAACTGTCCCGGACAGCTGGCGACCCCAAACGGCATTGCGGTCCGCTCCCAGAGCCCATGTGTAGTTACGAAGGCGGACTTATGTTGGTCTTTCTTTGCTAAAGGAATCTGGTGATAACCACTGCGGAGATCGAGGCAGGTAAAAAATTTCGCTTTTCCAAAGTTTTGCATTACGTCTTCTACAACGGGAAGAGGGAAATTGTCGGCTCGAATGACTGAGTTAAGGCGTCTATAATCCATACACATCCTCCACTCCCCTGTCTTCTTTTTAACTAACAGTACCCCTGAGCTCCACTCGGAGATTGATGGCCGGATTAACCCCATTTTGAGTAAGTGGTTCACTTGTCGCTCGACCTCTTGTTGTTGTGGTATTGCCATTCTGTAGGGCGCTGTTTTAAATGGCTTTGCGGTTCCAGTTTCTATTGTCATTTCGTAAAGATTTGTGAACCCGAGTTCCTCGTCTGTGTGTGCGAAAGATGTTCTGTGTTGCGTCAAAAATTCCCGTAATTGTTCTCTGTGATGCGTGTTCGAGATGTGAGCGACTAACGAGTTGTAATCGACTGTTGTTTGTGTGGCGCGTGCTTGACCTGGTAATTGATGTGCCTGTTTGGTGTTGTTGTAAAGACCCGTTCGGTCCCTGCTTTGTGCGGCCGCCGGCCTCCGTAAGCTGTCGCGCTGCGTGCCGCGTTCGGTGTGCGTGAATGTCGCTGAGGCAGCGACGCGTGGCGTGCGCGTGCCTGTCGCTGGAGCAGTGACGCGTGGCCTGTGCGTGAGTGTCGCTGAGGTAGTGGCGCGTGGCGTGCGCGTGCCTGTCGCTGAAGCAGTGACGCGTGGCCTGTGCGTGAGTGTCGCTGAGGTAGTGGCGCGTGGCGTGCGCGTGCCTGTCGCT